GCCTTTTGATGATTTAACTTCTCTTTCAATGAGATACACCTCGGATCCTAGAAACTGGTGGGCTAACTTTGGTGCTGAAACTCCCCGTCTACAATCTTTAGCATTCAAAATGCTTGGGCAGCCATCATCTTCATCTTGTTGTGAACGAAACTGGAGTACATACTCTTTTATTCATTCGTTGAAGAGAAATAGGTTAAATCCAAGTCGTGCTGAAGATTTGGTTTTTGTTCATAACAATCTACGTCTTTTATCTAGAAGTTCTGGTCAATATGAAGAAGAAAGGACAAAGATGTGGGATGTAGGTGGTGACAGATTTGACTCTTTTGAAGATACCGGATTTTTGGAGTTTGCAGAACTCTCCCTTGATGAACCAGAGTTGGAAAATGTGTTGATCTCAGAGGGTGTTGACAAGTAGTGATGTTTTTATTTGAGGATTTCAAAAACTATGTTTATTAGTTATTTATTTATTTTTCCAAACATGATTGTTATGATGTTACAAGTATTCCATTATTCTTTTTATGCTAATACATCATTGGATTGTTTTATGTTAATTAAGTACTCCATAGAATATTATTTTTAACATTTACATGCCTATATTTAATTTTTTAATTATATTTTGTTGACGAATCCTTGCCGTCCCCGCATCCTTAAATTTTTAAAAATGCCGATTCCCGAATCCGTCCCCGTCCCTGTATATGTACCCGCACCCGTCCCGGTGCAACCTAGATTACTACTTCACGATTAAAAGAAGCACAAACAATTTAGAGAGCCATTTTGCTTTATTCCATCGTACCCCAAAGCCAAAAAATAGTCTTCATCTGAGCTAATGGAAACTTATAGGTAGTACAATATTCAATTTATAACGTCATTATGAGAGTGTTGGGTCATCTAGGAAAGAGTCTCTCTACTCCTTGCGTTGGGGAGATAATGTACGGGAACATCTCCCACACACCCTCCCCTCCCCCCCCCCCCAAACCTCCAAAAATGTGTGGGGATGGGGGGGAGGTGCTAAAGTGTGTTCGATTCATCACAAAAAATGACAGTCAATGAGAAAGAAGTAGATATGTATAATGTATAATTCAGGAAAGAAACACGTCACTTAAAAATGGCTGATCCAAGAGAATGAATCCTTACCCACGCCATGTGTCCATATATCAATTCGCACGTTGTTCCATCCGACAAGATGGAGATCTGGATGATGACCTGCACAAGCGCACAAGAAGTCTTGCTTAAAAATGCAGATCGTGTGTACGAATGGATGAAGAAAAAGCCCTTAGAAAGTACATCAAAAAATTCTTTCTAAACAATTAAGCCATTTGCGTAAAGGAGTTTGAGAACCTTCTGTTTCAGCAAGATCAGCAACCAGTTCTAAAAAGGCCATTCCTTTCACAAAAGTTTTGACCTTCCAGGACCTGTGCAGCTTCAAAGTTCCGCCATCATTCACCAAATTCCATTGAGGTACCTAAGTATAGAAATTAGTGAACGTAGGTATGATATCTATTTGTGTAGAAATTATACATCTTGAAAAGAAGAGGAAATGGCAATGGATACCGATCAACTAGTTAGTGGCAGATAATGTAAAATATGCATAACACGGTGACTGGATGCCAAACCTGTTTCATCAATACATTTGCAGCTCCTTCAGTCATAGGCCTCAAGTCCTTTGCTTCACACGGCACACACTTTTTGATCGACAAGTCTGACAAATCAACCAAAGAAATGAATTACAAAATATCTTAGTAACCTGTGTACACCCACCTAGTTGAGAATGAAGAAGAAAATAAGCACAAACAAGAAATGCACGTCACCAAATGAAAGAATTACAAGAGAGAAAAATGCTTCTGGAGCAGGCAAAATTATGCAAACATGTAAAAATAAAGGAATACAACTACCCTAAAATCATACATGTCCTCAAGAAGATCATCACAAAACATGACAAATATGGTGTAGCTATGGCTGCTTTACCAGTCCATTGTCAATGGAGCTAAAAGGGTCATTATTGACAATATTTTAGTTTTGGACACATAATAGACGAAATTAAAATGACACGTTATACTTTTGTTGCTTCTTACATTTTATAAAGTTTTGGACAGTAAATGCAGCAATACATCTAGTCTAGAAAAACCAACACCTCTGTTTTTTGCGGAGGTAAGACTGCGTACATCTTAACCCAACACCCGAATGGAGTTGGGATTATACTGAGTTGTTGTTGTTGGCTGCTAGTGTCAACTTCAGTATAATTTCAAATATCTTATAAGTAGCTTATGTTAATGAAAAAAACTTGAAGATTAGAGCTTTAGACATCAACGAATCCTCATAGATTACAGCTTTTCACACAATTGAATTTAGTTTTCTCCTAGGCAAGTTTTCACTTGGCATACCCAAGAATCAAGAAATGTAGGCCACATAAAAGTCCATACTCCTAAAACAAAATCATGCATCCATACTTAACAAGAATGCCTAAAGTCACTTATTACTGCAGCGACGCACCTTCAGTGGTACAAAAAGTCCTAATTCCCTTATAGACATTTCTATTTGATGTCACTCCAACATGACCTTGAAGTATGCCAGCTAGAGAAAAACTTGAGCTGTACGTGAATGCCAAATTTAGAAACAACATGATCATTTTCTTAAATGCTGAAGAAAAGTAGTCTAAATTCCTAGAACCTGACTGTGAGAGAAGACACAAGACACTAATTGTTGACAAGAAAGATAAAAAAAAGAGTTAAACACTACATTGAACATAAATAAAAAAACTCAACCAAACAAACCATTTATATTATATGTCACTCAGGAGTAGGCCTTGGGGGGAAGATGTACACAACCTTACCTCTACCTTAAAAGCAACATTGAACACCCCATACGATAAGCCCATAGACAATTATGTTATTCTACAACACTGTATACCTTGGCAAACCCAAAAATAATTGGTTCAAAAGTTCTAAAGCTTCCATCAAGATGACTTAAATAGAATCAAATAATTCCTTCAAAAAATTTTAAAGCCTCCACCAAGATGGCTTAAATAGATACATACAATTCGTTTGAAAGTTCAAATCGTCCACTAATAAGATGTCTTGAATAGAAATTAGAATCAACTTAACAGCAGAAACTGATCGCTGGACTAAATATACACATCGCAAAACACTAGATACAGATAGAATCATCAAAAAATACAGATTTATTTGAATAGATTTCAAAACGAAACAGTACCGTCCATGGTTTTTATGGAAGCTTTGAGAGAATGCCTTCAGCGGAACCTGTAAAAATGCAGTGCAAATCTAGTGCAGCCAAACCATATCCATCGCCGAATACAGGAGAGAGAGGGAGAGGGGGGGGAGACTTACTTGAACGTTCACGAAAGATGAGAGGAGACGGGAACGAAGTGTTGGAAGCATCGGGATCCACTGTTAGCGGTAGTACTGCGAAATCTCATACAGCGGAAAAAGAGGAGAGTTTGAGAGCAATTCCATGAGTTACATACTTATATTTTCAATGCTTTATATTAATACAAAATGTCATTACCATCATAAAATAATTTTATAGTAGATATAAATAATTTTATATTCTCTTCGTCTACAAATAAACTTTCCGTTACGCGTTATGATGTTTCACCGAAATTATTTTCAAATTATTTTATATAAAAAATGGTATAAAATTTAAAAATAAAAATTACATATTAAAAAACTATATCAAAAGATTTACAAAACAAGAGGTGACATGACTATATTCTTTTATCAAATAGGTGACGAAAATAGGCCAACAAAGTGAATAAAGTTTGACCTTGTAAATAGTGAACGAGAAGTTTATTTGTGGACGGAGGGAGTATTAACACAAAATATAAATATAAACTTTTGGATATATTTTAGAACACTGAAAATATTCCTGAAGCCTCGGGGCTTTAAACCGAGACTTCAAAATTTTAGTTTCTGTAACTTCAACTTTAACTTATACTCCCTCCGTACCAAAAAGAATGAGACGGTTTGACTTTTTGAGAAATTAAGGGAGGGATATTTTGGTATTGACTTTCCAAAAATACCCTTGATGTGATGGGTAGATTATTAGAAAAAAAGATATGATATGATAGGTAGGGTATGAAAAAGTAAGGGGTAAAAGTGATTTTTTAATAGAAATGTAACGAACTTTACAAGACGCAGTTTTTTCTAAACGTAACAAACTTTTTGGGACGGATGGAGTATAATAGATTCACTGGAAATGGGTTTGAAGCCTGAGGGCTTCAAACATTTATTGTTTACATTTTGAATACACATCTTGTAAAATTAAACTAATAAGACTTCATTAATTAATTGAATTTAAATGACAATAATTCATTAAATAAAAAAATTTATATTCAATAAAAAATTACATTAATAAAATAAGATTTAGATAATAACATCATAAAAAATTAAAAATTGAATTACATTACAAATAAATTATAGGAAAAAACCAAAATAACACTCTTAGAGCAACTCCAATGCCTAGGGTAAATTATGATAGTGTAAAATCTATTTTACACTATAAATAGTGTTTTACACATCTATTTTTTTATACTCATTCCATCCATATCTTCTATAATATACACTTTTATAATTTTTTGTATTTAAAGTTGTTCATTTATAATAATTATTTTTAATTCATCCTTTAGTAATACTGTGATTAAATTGAAGCACTTCATCTGAGAAAGGGCAGCAACATTGGAAAATGGAAAAAAGATGCAAATTGGTATGAAGATTTGGATACTGAATTGGTATTGAGAGCGGTGATTTTGAAAGAGAGCACATATTTTGGAATTCACGAACCACAGCCAGTGGCGGAGCCAGGATTTAGGAGTAGTGTAACGCCCTGAAACTCGGCTTAGTATTTTAATTAATTTGTAGAATTAATTAATTATTGGGCCGATCAATACAAAGATTATTTTCTAATTTGCATAATTAATATGGGGGTTGACCTACGTTGTACGACACGCTGTTCTGAACCCGACCGCGCAAATGGATTGAGAATCGGACTTACAGGGCCCAAGATACGACTGCCGAATGAGGTAATTGGGCCTAAATTTTTCCTAACCAGTTAGGAAGTGTAAACTGGACCTTAAAATTTAATTAAATTTATAATAAATAGGGAGTGGGGAAGTTACGAGACTTAAGCACTTAGTCCGTTTAGCCTCTGTTCGCCGTCCATCTGCCAGGGAGAGCCAGCAGCCGCAGCAACCGTCGAGAACCTTCGCCGCTGTCGTCGCCGTCAACGCTAGGGATTCCGACCGACGTCCTCGCCTCGTCCCTCCGTCACGCGCAGCAGGCCGGCGAAACTAGGGAAGAGTTGCAGCGGCGAATTCACTCCGATTCAAGTTCAATTCGTCGTTTTTCGAGGTGATTTGTGGTTTCTATACCTTCTCTTAGCGTGAATTCGTAGATTAGAACTTCCTTAGCGTATAATCTTTCAATTTGAATGAGAATTGTGAATGTTATGTTGAAATTATGAAATTTGTGTTGGGGGGCTGTTTTCCGTCATCTCCTCCGGCGACCGCCAGCAACGGCGGCGACGAGGTGGTCGGAATAGGGCAGCATCTAGATTTGGACAAATTGGATCCAATTGGAACTAATTGGGTCCAATTGGGTGCAATTGGGTCTAATTGGGTCCAAACGGGTTCAATCAGGTTCAATTGGGCTATTTAGATTCAATTGGGTGCAATTGGATGTGATTGAACTATTTTGGGTTAATTGATGTACTGTTCGGGTTGCTGTGAACCACCCATCGGGGCTGTTTGGTCTGGCTTTGGGTTTGGGCAGCCGGGGAGGCTACCGGCGGGGGTGCTGGGGTTGTTCCGGTGACGATGGGGACTGCTCCGGCGGGGGCAGCGGACCCGAGGATTGATTCCTTAGTCTCGATTCCGCGCAGGTAAGTTGGGTTAATTGTAATTCAGTTTGTTGATTATTCATGACGGTAATCGTGGGTCTTCGGCCCGGATAGGCCGCTACGTGATTTGTTGTGAATTGTGAACTGAGATTTAAATTAAACTTATGTTATTGGTGAATATTGTGGATTACGAATAATATATGAGAAATAGGCCACCTAGTCTAATTAGGCGGACCTGAATGGGATTGACTGATTGAATCACCAATAGGATATGGTTAGGAAATTGGCCATTGCGGGGCATCGTCGCACCCCCGGTGGTCTTGGGTTAAAAACGTACGTACGGAAGTCCGCGACCTGTCCTGGCATCGTAGGGACAGGGGCTTCAACCCGCCCAAAGTGAATCTCCTTTGGGTTTCTGAGCTGGCCCTTTTATAGCATCGCTTGGGGTGCCATGACTCAAAGTAGTTGATGTGGAATAAAATAAGGACATGATGTTCAAATGAAAGGTGTTAATATAAATATGTTTATTTAAGCTATTTTTTTCCTCCGTGATCACATGTTGTTGTGGATTGTATGTTAATGTGGTTCTATTCTGTGAGTTAATGCTGGCTTAGGTATATTTTCACTCAGCGTTTCGCTGAGCGTGTAGTCGTTGTCGTTTGACTGCACGCAGGTAGGAACACGGAATTTGATGGGCAACCCGGAGGGCAGTGAAGTGGTGGTGGCGTGGATGGCTCTTGTTTACTTTAGTAATTAAACTACATTATTTTATTTGCTTATATGGATTGTTGGACGTTACTTTGTTTTAATTATGCTTCCACGACTTTTGGACTTGTTTTATTACTCCGATAAATTTTGGTTTAGCTTTAAACTCTCACGGATGAATTTATAATTTATTCAGTTGGTTATTTGTTTTAAAAAAAATTATGCATGCGAATACCAATTTAGTAACAACCCGGTTCGCTAACCCGTTGGTTTGGGTTACGCGGGTTGGGGTGTTACATTTTGGTATCGGAGCATTTGGTTTTATAAACGATTCTTTGCCAAAATAATTAAACTTATAAAAACTCTTTTTGTTTTTTTTTATAAAAATGTTATCAATTTCAAAAAAAAACTATTTTGTTTAAAAAGGAAAAAAAATGATGTTGTTGTCAATTTTAAAAAAAAGGTGACGAATTTTGAAAAAAAAGAACTATTTTTTTTTTTGTTTTTAACACATAATGTATATACATGTGTCGAGCATCCACAGCTTCACTGCGTCACTGCTCCGGGAGGTAACTCTGAATCCCTATTGTTGCCTATGTGATAATTATTTGTTGTCTTTAATATTTATTTATTGGTTGGTTTATTAAGTTATATAAAGAAATACTTATGTATAGTGAATTTGGAGGGTGAATCTTAATTAGGGTTGTATTTGGTGAGAAGAAAAAAAAATGTGGATTTTGATATCTCTAATCTCAAAGTCCTTATTTTGGTGTTGTTGAACTAAAAAGGAAATTTAATTTTGAAAGCTAGAGATATGGGAAATTTCCAACCTTAATTCGCCGCTATCAAAAACGAGAAAGACATTGTTATCAAAATCGAAGGAGATGAAGATGGGAAAATTCTGTCTCAACACATCAAAATCCTCTTATCTTCGCATCCGACTCTATGTCTCCTTCCCATGGGGCAACGCGAAAGTCGTGTTTCTAGCACCTGATCCGTATCATCGACAATGACGACTGAGGAATATGTTTTCTATTCATAACCCATGCTCACCGTTTAGTTTCCTATACGTTCCTCTGCAACAAAATTTGGTGAAGTTCCCAGCGGTGGATTGGTCTCTGTTTTGCTATTATTCATAATCACTACCTATATACATAGTATATGTCTCTCTCACCAAACACCTTCTAATCAGATTTCGGAACTCATATCATCTCCTCTCAAATTTAAAAAAAAAAACTTATGTCTTATCACATCTCCAATACTCGCCAATCGAGCCTAAGTCATAATCCACAACTATCCATGACGACTAGTGTGATCATGTTATATTAATAATTGTAAGAAAGAATACATTATATTACATGTTGATAACATGTGTAAGAGTTAAAAAAATATATATAGTCACAATTGAAAATCTCAACCACCGGAGTTGGATTTAACACACTAGTAGTTGGTTTGTATAAAGAATGTAAATATGAAAGAAAAAAAATTGTATAAAAGAATGTAGATATGAACTTAGCTGCCCGGTGCCAACTTGAGGGAAATGGATAACTCACAATTATTCTCGAAGTTGTTTTTGATTAATTTCAGACCAAATTTGTTGTGCTGAGACTCTCAAACATAATTAGCTTTCTCAAAATTGTAGCATCACGCCACCAAAGATTAATTAATGCTTAATATTGAATTACAAGGTGGCTCAATAGTATGGGATGAATCACACAAAGTAAATAATCTAGAAGAGAATAACAAGATATGTAACTAATTCGCTAAATTTTATATATTGGAAGAAAAAAACATCTCACAGTTGAAGATTTATAACTATCACCATGTTGTAAAGTGTATGTAAAACCTCATGTCTAGAATGAAATGTTCCCAACAAATAATTGTTGAACGAAGAAAATGAAAACAAATATTATGGGTTGAACCATTAGGATTAACTCTAAACCAAAGTATTTTGGTGAATACACATAATTTGAACCAAATGAAAAAAACTTATAAATTATAAGCTACTTAATGAACTTACGCAACTAGTAATAAATATCATGTTGAGCAGTGGTTCATAAGAAAGAATTTTTGAATTAGACAAGTTTTTTCGAGTAGTTACCATATAAGAAAAAAAATTACCATATATTTAGACTATGTGAGAGATAACTATCTAATAAGTTATCTTTAGGAAAATATATATAATAGATAAGTGAAGTAGCCGACGTTAGATGAAATTTGAAGAAAGTAGCTTCTAAAGGTTACTTTTAAGAATTTAAAAGTTTTGATAATTATGATACTTTTTGGAGAGATTAATTTTCTAAAAACTTATTATTTAATACAAAAACAAATTGTGTATATGAATCAACTAAACGAGGGTTGCTCAAAAAAAAAATATTGCAAAGGGGTTCCAACTACGCAGAAATATGGCACATCTCCATTATTTATGCGGACCCCCTCTGCTCTGTTTCCTCTCTCTCTCTCTTTCTTTATATATATATATATATATATATATATATATATATATATATATATATATTAAAAAATAAAAAATGGAGTGGCTGCAATTGCAGTCAATTGCTCCTCTTTGGCTCCGCCACTGACCACAGCAGAGCAAGTTGAGAAGGGTGGATGGAAAACAAATGAAAATGAAAGGGACAGAGCGAAAAGTAGATCCAATAGGTGAGGGAAAATACTTTTTTTATTATTTGCACTATATACATCATAGTGTAGAAATAGGAGCTCGAGAGTGCTTTTTGCACTCTAGTGCTTTTTAGCATTGGGTTTACACACTCCATTAGAGTAGGATAAAATGATTTCATCTTGGATAAAGGGTATATTTAACAATATACCCTATGCATTGGAGTTGCTCTTAGAGCTTTAAAATACTCTAAATAGCAGTGCTATATGTTTCGTAGCTCTGATTCTGATTTTGTCTTTTAATTAAACAGCAAATATTCATTGTACACTGCCAAAAAATATGATTGTTTTGGGCGGTGTGGTTGTTTTCTTATAACTGTGTAGTGGGCAGTGTGATTTTTTATATGTGTGTATTTAATGTGGCAGTGTAGAATTGATGCATGTTGTTATATTTTACGGCAGTGTGTAAGTGTAATATTGTGTTCTTTAATTGCATGTTGGAGTGTAATGTCCATTGATTTATGTGGTAGTGTTTTCATGTATAAATTCTACACTATCAAAAAATGTATAACTATTTTCATGTATGAATTTCACATTGCAAAAAAATGTATAGCTCTTTTTATGTATGAATTCCACAAAATATTTTCATGTATGAATCCCACACTGCAAAAAATGTGTATGAATATTTTCATGTATGAATTCCACACTGTCCAAAAATGCATGACTGATTTCATGAATAATCTATTACACCAAAACACACTAGCCAAACATGGGCGTTAAATATAGAACTTAATTTAATACGTACAAACTTGTTTAGACATTATACATTGGTAAACTGCGTAGGAGGAGGATCTCGCAGAGCTATGGTAAACGACGTATGATGATGTTCTCGCACGTATGAGACACACGAATGAGGAGGAGTGGCTATGTGAATAACTTAAGTTTAATCAAATAATTAAAAGTAATTAAAAATATTAGAATATAATAAAAGATAGAGGACATTTTTGTAAGATATTGACACTATAAATAGCTAAGTTCGTATACAAGATTAAGGAATGTTATATGCGTAATATTAAGTAACTTAGAGTGCTATGTAGGGTGATTTCTTATAAATTATTTATTATTCAAGCGACTAAAAATACCTTCAATCAAATCTACCGTTAATGTATTTTGAATCTCTTGACTTCGAATTTTTTGGCGATTTCTTCGTTTCTTTTCTTCATCAATTTATTTATACGTAGGCATCTCCTCGTCTAGGTTGTAATGACAAATTGCAAACTCATTGTTCTCTATGATCATATTATGAAGAATTTAATACATGCGTACATAATATTTCACATTTTCGTTTGATAATAACACTTAGACAAAGAATCTAAAAATGTGTCACTTACTTTCAATGCCCCGAAGGCTTGTTCGGTATCTTTTCTTGCCGCCTCATGAGCTTTTTTGTAGGTCTGGCGTTTAACGCTTTGTTTGGTAACATCGTTTTCTATTAGCGTTAGTGTTTTGGATAAAATTTTAATGATACAGATTAATTCTGAAAACGCTAACGCCAAAGGCTACCGTCGGATAGCTTTTTCAAAACGCTAACGCTAATCTCTGACGCTGATGCCAAACGGGGCCTAAGACTCATTGGTTCAGAGACAGACTTGACAATTGTGGAATAATCTAGATATGTTCCATCGACAAGATAATATCCACGCGTGTAAAGCGTCCCTCCAGACTCAAAATGTAACGCCCCAAAACATACCCTAAAATTTTTAATGAATAAATATTCAATTAGTCAAATTTGTTTCGATTAAAATAAATAGTTATTGGGCTTTGGGCCGAAATGAAATGTGTTTTGATATCCAATATCTTAATCTGGATAGATCTCATAGAGATAAATCCAATATGTTGAGTATTTGTGTGGTCTTGATTGGGAACATGAGTACAGACCCAAATCAAGAATAAATAAAGAAATTAGTTATGTAGTGAACTTTAAAATGATTTACTGAAATAAATCATGATAATAATTAATATGAATTAAATATGAGAACCTTTTTGAATAAAAGTCAACTGAATCAATTGTGACTCTGTCAAAGTCAACCAGCCAAAAATATGGTGTCTGAAAAAGTATACCAAATAAACATAAAAATTATATCGTTGGATAGAGCTCGACTGTCTAATCGCAACGGTGCAAACACATTTCAATTCGGAGAAAGTTGGACCAAAAAGTGTACCCCGACTCGGCCAAATTAGTCCTAATCAGGGAAGAGTCATAGCAATCAGACTAAATCAGCCGACCTTCCCATTTCGCCGATCGTGAGTCACCACTGACTCAACTCCATTAGCTTCTTCTTCTTCACCAATATATAAGGAAGACCTCTCTTCCTCATTTCTTCACCATTCTCCCTCAAATTTCTTCTAAGAGGTAGCCATGAGTGTAAGGAGTGTTGTGGTGCTGTCAATTTGGTGTGGAATCACCAGAGCTAAGAGTTATCGTCGCTGGAAGTTTCGTCGGAAAATTTCCAAAAACCCCGTTAAGCTTCGAGGTAAGCCCGTAGATATATCTAATGACTAGAATGTTCATATATGTCGTTTCTACGTTCATAAATGGTCATTTGGTTGAGTTTTGTGTTTGACATGCTTGAAGAACTACGAATCATAAACCATGAAATTGATGTTAAAATTCTGAATTAATGATGCTAAAATGATCCATGAACCTTGGAGAACATTTTTGTATACTTTAATTGAAGTTTGGGAAGTAAAAATGACATTTCCGCAAGATGACTCGAGGTAGAAGACGATGAACAGTTGATTATCAACTTGAAAATCGACTGTGGCTTGTTCTGTAGATTTTTGGAACAGAGCTGAGCAACAGTCGACTGTCAGAATGTGACAATCGATTGTCAACCCTCTCTGAAGTTTGATAATCGATTATCAGAGTGTGATAATCGATTATCAGTCCATTCTGAACATCAGACAGTAGATTATCATAAGAAACAGTAGATTGTCTCCCTACACTATTGAAGAAAATGAAGCTAATAGTTAATAATGGAATTTCCTATCATATATTAATCAATTATTGTTTAGAAAACATGATTTTTGAACTATGAAATCCTATTTTTGATACCAATTAATTATGCACAATATAAATATGATTTTGTATAATAAAAATGTTGTTTTGGCATATAAAATACTATGTGATGCATGACGGTAAGTTCGGGTGTTAACACTCGAGACTAGGCCACTGTTTGTTATCAAATGTTATGTTGATTGATGATTATGATGAATGATTATTATGATGATTATGACTTGATGAAACTATTGATTAAAATGATTATTGAAGATTAAATTATGAATTGAAATGAATATGTTGATGATTATGAAATGATTTGAATTCTGAGGATATCTAGAAGAACTCTAAGATATACCTAGGTTGACGTTGGTTTCTAAGACTATCTAGAAGACCTCTAAGATGGCTTAGAAATAGGCCTTGCGGGTATAATTATGAATATTCGGTGGCCTGGGTTAAAACGTACGTACGAGATCTACAAACCAAACTAAAGGAACTAGTTTGGGGATACCACCCAACTCGACAGTGAGCATTCCGCTGTTCGGTTTCTGGATGACCTTAAGCGAAGGTAAGTTTAAGATTTTGAAAACCTCTTTTTGAAAATTTGTATCTTAAACTAGGCCTAGCTTAAGGGTTAGTTAAGAGTACCTTAAACTCGAATATAGTTTAAATATTTAAACTAGAATTCGTTTAAGAGTTGGTAAACATCAAATAGATTGGCCTTAGACTAAGAATAGTTTAAGGATATTATTGAATGAGGATGTTGAATGTTGAATATGAATATTGAATGACGAATGTTGAAAATTGATTATTGTATATTTGAACTGAATACTTTGTGCATGATATCAAATGATTTGATTATGAATTTGGATTCAATTTATATGGATGTTCGACGCATTAGATATGCTTACTCAGCTTCACCGCTAAGCGTGTAGTATGTCTTATTTGCTACACNAGTGTTTGAAAAGTTTTAAATTTTACGATTACCAAGTTAATACTTTAGTCCGAAAGGGGCTGCAGACCTGGACGGATTAGGGTGTTACACAAAAGACGAGTCGCGTGTAGTCTCATTAACCTAATTGTCGAAAACGGGCGATTGATTGAGAACATTGATGTCATTGTTAGAGCCCGCAACACCAAAAAAAGTATGCCAAAACCACAAGTCTTTTTAAGCCACAACTTCAAGCATAATAGTAGACTTGGGATGATCATTTCGAGAGAACTAACCATGCCACGTTGTGGGACAATTTTTTCAATCCCAATGCGTGCAATCAATGCTCCCAAGCATGCCAACAAAGTCGTGTTTAGTGGCATGTCTCGCCAGTAATTGCTCAATGTCGCTCGCTGTCAGCTTACGTAAATATCTTTGACGATAAAATTGAATAATAGCTTTAAAAAATTTATAAACACATGACTTGATACTCCGAGTTGACATCTTCAAGTATTCGTCGAACATATCAAATGTTGTCTCGTATGCCATCTGACGAAGCGCGGCACTGCACTTCTACATGCTACTAAAATCGCGCTGGCCTCTCGCATCAAAGCGTTGGGTGAACCAAGGCACCTCATGTTCAATATTGAGGAGTATGCGTAAAAATTAGGAATGACTCATCCGAAAACGATTACTAAAATTCTCAGGTGTGTAAACCCACGGAGTATTGATGTAGTTGTTGAGAGTAAATATGAGAGATAATTAATTTCTTTTGTCTTTTGGGGGATAATTTCCTTTGTTTGGTTGAAAGGGAATTAGGAGAATAAATTAACCATTGAGAGTATATTTTTATATAACAAATGTATTATTATCATTATAAAGATTTAATAAAGTGAATTGCATTAAAAGTGTTTAAATTTATTTAAACATTATTATTATTATAAATCATCTGGAGAAAAAAATAACATAATTAATTTTACATTTTTTTACATTAATAAATAGGAGAGAGGAGTATAAGTTATTAAGAATAATACTCCCTCCGTCCCTAAATAAACTTCTTCTTTCATTTTTTCTTTGTCTCCAAATAAACTTCTCTTTTCCCTTAAAAAACCCCCTTTTACCCCTTACTTTTTCATATCCTACCTATCACATCATACATTTTTACTAATAATCTACATATCACATCTTACTTTTACACATCACATGAATGATATTTTTGGAAAGTCAACACAAAAATATCCCTCTCTTAAATCCTCAAAAAGTCAAAAAGGAAAGTTTATTTAGGGACGGAGTGAGTATATATGAAAATGATGCTTTATTTAAAGATTTCAAATAGTACCAAGTGATTCTTCCAATTGGATGGTTAGGGTTCAATTCCTAATAGAGGCGATAACTCTCAGTGCTTCAATAAATTGAGAAAATATGTATAAATACAATTGTAATAGATTTATTAGTGTTATAAAAATCATCTACATCTAAAAAATCATATCAATACACAAAGACTTGATAGATTATGTAATGTTACTCTAAAATTCTATTTTGTATATAGACCTAGACACGATTCCGGTTCTAAACCGATACAAGAATCGAAGATTCCAGAACCTGAACCAGTGGGGGTGTATAGGGGTCCCGGTACGAGAATCTTTTCGGGCAGTACTGGTAGTGGTTCCGAATTTGGGGTATCTGAACCGCCAGAACCGGAATTAATTTTTCTTATCTCAACTTTGAGAAACATTTACTACATTTAGATGAACTATTTTACAAGTACAAACATTTAAATAAGTATTTTAACCATATACGAGTATCTTTTTTGCACTAAAAATTCAACTTAATAAAAACAGAAAAAAAAAAGAAATCCGGGACCGGTAGCCCATCTCGGAGATTTATATTGGTATATGATAAATGATCCTTACAAATTACAACAACACCAAATAATAATGTTTATTAGTACAATGCAGATGAAGTGCTTGAGTACCCCTAATGGGAAATATGATAAAATTCAGACAAATATGCCAAAGCTTCAGTGTTACTGTCACAAACTTTCAACAATGATGTAGCCTCGCCGGGCGAGAGCGTGCCGAAATCCTCACAGTCACGAAGGAACTCAAGAAGCTTTGAATAAAACGAATCGTAGTTCATGAGGAGGAAGGGAAAGGGGAGAAGCGAACCAACTCGGTCAAGTTGCCTCAATGCCATGAGCTCAAAAACTTCATCCAAGGTTCCAACGCCGCCAGGTAGTGCCACCACAGCTGTCTTATCCAAGCAACCACTTCTCATAGCGGCGTCCACCAAACCATGCTTCCTTGCAGAGAAAAACCTGCAAGTAAGGTATGTTTGGGATGGCAAGTACGGATGAGGCATTTTCGAGGTCCATTCCCCACCTTCTTTAGCTATCTTGAATCCACCAACGGCTTTTCCAGCCTGTAAGGCCCCTTGTGTGACTGCGTCCATAAGGCCCGGTCCCACCCCGGACCAGGACGTGCAATCTAAAAGTGTTGCAATGTCTCTTCCCAATTCGAATGCTTGTGAGTAGTGTGGATGGTTTGGGCCAAGCCTTGAAGATCCCAAGTACACAACGCCCCTACCGAGCTTATGTATCAGTTCATAGCACTGCTTGATTTCTTTCTTCACCTCATTGGGACTCATTCTTTCTTCGAATCCCATTGACTCGAGCTTGCAGGAAACCGTTCTTCTTGGTGGGTACTTGAAAGAGTGAAATTGCTCAGAGATTCTGTGAGAAAACTGATGATGACCCAATGAACTAGGACTAGCAACAGATACCCACATCCCAGCTGCTTCAAAAATAGCACGAAATATTAAGTCTTTGCAGAAATTCTATGCAACAGGCTTATATGTGAATGGCTTTGTCAAGACTATTGGCAAGTCTTCTTTCTACTTTTGCGCCGAAAGAATCAATTGTGAGTTCAATACCTTTGAGTGGACAATGGATGGATTTATAGTTCGCACGGTAATATAAGGTTTGGTAACTTAGTATTACCGAAACTGGATTCAGATATGGTCCAATTTTGGTTCTAGAATCAGTAGAGAATGTATCATCTCAAAGGGAATAGTACAACTCCATATACATTTCCTTGTACTTTTTTATGCCATCTTGTTGGCCATGTTTACTTTAGATCAGGTTGAACAGCTTTAAAAGGGAAAAGAGGTTTTATTCTTGATCAATCATCAATAAGTAATCAATCAAAATCATACTACCATATAAAGAAAGATGATGCACTACACATTAGCTTAAGCTTTTGGTTAGAAAGTGGAGAATGTGGTCGAATCCCACCCAACACTCCGCTCAATTCATTCGACCCACTGAAATTCCAACATGGTATCGTAGCCAAGTTTGGTTCGGGTTCGACTCATCCTGGTATTCACCGGGCTAGACCCATTCATTCATCCAAGTAATAACTAGACCAGGCTAGTTACAACTTGAGGGGGGTGTTGGAGTCCATGTGTTGGGCAAATGTTCCCAACCCAGATAATAAATATTGAATCAAATATATACCCCTCCGTCCCTAAAAGATGTTCTTGTTTCATTTTTGCATAATCTATAAAACATTTCTACTCCACCTGAAATGTCTAAAATACCAATTAAACAACTTTTGCCTGCAATAAAGGGGAAATGAGGTGAATTTTAGACATTATGGATGTGAATAGAAGTGTTTCATGGGATGCGCAAAAAATGAAACAGAACGGAAATAGTACTATCATATTAAAAAATGTGAAGCAGGATTGTTTAAACTTTTGGTTAGAGAGTGGATCTGGACTGTATGTGGGAAAGTGATCGAATCCCACCCACACTCCGGTTCACTCGACCCACCGAAAATGCAACAATGAATAATGATGGAACTTGTAGAATTGATGAACAGAGCTTATTGGGCTCCCAGTTTCATTTTAAGCTCCTTCCTGTGCTGGAATTGGGAACGCTACGGTATGAGTATTACATCGGAAAATAATACTCCGCTCAAACGGGGGGATTAGGGGAATGAAGAATAATTTTTTAGAAAGTTCATGGGGAAAATTTATTGAATAATAATATCACCAGCACGATAACTTCTGCAATAATAGAAAAGGAAATTAGGGGATAATGAGGGAGAGGGATATGAAGAATCCAGAATTACCTGTGACTTCAGTAGAGGGATTTCGAACCAATGCCATTCAATAGTCACAGAGAGCGAGTGAGAGAGATAGAGTCATAAAGGCATCTTGTCTCCAATTTACTCTTATTAGTTAATAGGGAGCTTTTGACCCTTATACACCAATTGCTTACATTAGTGTACTGTCAGAGTAGGAAAGAGGGCGGGAGGGGGGACTGGGGTGGGGGGCAAGGGTGGGGGTTTAGGGGGAGGGTAGGGGTAGGAACTGTTGTTTTTACAAATGGAGCACCGTAGGTACCCCAAACGAACTGGTGTAAGCAAATAAAACTAGTAACACTAGTGTCATTTTAGACTTATCGTAGTTATTATTACTCCCTACTTCAAATTTATCTAAACAATTGTTCAAAATTAAAAAAAAAATTACAATTACATATTGGGAAAAGTATACTTCCTTCGTTCTAAAATAATCTTTTCAGTCACTATATAGGAGTCAAACTTTAATCATTTTTTTTACTCATTTTTGTTAGTTATTTGATAAAATAATATAGTAATGTCATCTTTTATTTTGTATAACTTTTGATGTAATTTTAAAATATAAAACTTTATTTTTAAATTTTACACCTATAATTAAATAAATTGAATAGAAAATAATTTTAGTCAAATTTCGTAAACCGAACTGGAAAGATCATTTTAGGAGGAGTGAATAAATGGAAATTATACATTGAAAATTATAGATGAAAATATGTAAAGAAATAATAATGGATAAGACAAAGATAGTGGGATGGGAAAAATATTACTTATAATTAGAAACAATTTAGATCATATTAGAAAAAAATTAAATTTAATTAGAATCAAATAACAAGAAATATTTAGTTCATATTTAAAAAAAATCATATCACTCTGATCAAATTAGATCAAATCAATTTTGAGCTAACAAATACACGACAACATTTAGGAATGAAATAGATAGAACAAGAAATAAAAGAACTCATGAGTTCTCGAAAATCACAAATGACGTTGCAAACATATGATGTAAAGTGTAAACGAGGCAGAAGAGATGACCAACCCATGGCAAAGAGTAGAGTAATTCGAAAGAAGCCCTGCTGCTTCAACCATGAAAAAGCTTCCTTGCAAGCCATGGATTCTGCTATTAAAAGACTAGAACATGGTTGTAAAGGCATGTTAACAGCTATAACTTCCATAACTGTGACCAAAGGTTAAAACCAAAGGGTGCACATAAAATTTTTATATCTTACTTTGACAGAATAATGATTTTTAAGATCTCCAAACCAATATCAAGAATCTTCAAAAATCCGGGTTCAATTCACGAGAACTCGAATAATAGGTTACATGTGAGACGAAAAACATACTCTCTCCGTCCCACAAAAAAGTTTTCATTTTGATGTATTTTTGGTTAAACAGTTACACGTTTTGACCATAAATTATATATAATCTAAATAAAGAAATGATATAATTTAGAATGTGGTGGGGATCACTGGATTGATTGGGCTATAAGACACTTGGGCTGAACCACATTAAAAGATTGAATCCAATCGATTAATTAGTTTAACTCAAGAGCTTATATACCGATTACTTTCCTCACACTTTTCCGATGTGGGATACTCTTAACAAGAAATACTAAAAAAATCTGAGATATCAAAACTAGATCTTAAGATAAATTCAATTATATTAAATTTATTTTATAATTAAATATACATTTCTCATAATTTGTAGTCAAAGCGTGTAAATAGTTGACTAAATAATATTCAAAATGAGAACTTTTTTGTGGGACGAAGGGAGTATTTGTTAGAAGGGGTAAATGAGTAAATCATGTAATCTCGAGAAAGAATGAACAAGACAAGCAACCTTTGTGCCACAGAGGTGAGGGATAATGGTTTGGACCAAAGGGTTCAAGCCGTCTCAGAGTCGACCATTTTTAAAGAGTTAGAGAAATATTTATACCATAATTATTTAAAATCTTTTAATAAGGTGCATAAATTGAAAATTTACTGGTTTTGGAAATATAATATTTATGACTCTAGCCGACCTATAGACTATAGATTTTTATTTAGTTGTGTATTTTTATTGATTATTTGTAAAATAAAATATTTTTATCATCTATTATTTTTTGGATTTTTTGATATAATTTTTTAATATGTAATTTTTATTTTTTATAAATATGCAAATTTATAAATAAAATAATTTTATAAGAGGAGAGATTTTAACTCAGTAAATTTCAATTTATAATCAAAGTTTGGGGGAGTAAAACTTACTCCAAAAAAAACATTTAAATATGGCAGATATATTTCTTATTCTATTTAGAATATTTTGTTTCCTTATTGACCTAGACTATACCTCTTTCCGCGTATGTATAAATACCCCCGTATATGATGAATAAATGATAGAGTTCACAACACGTTTTCAGCACGAGACTCAAACCCTAATTTTTTTTTCCGCCTCTCTCGTTCCTTTTCACGGCTCTCCCCTGTGCATCGTTGAAGCCTCGCCGCCTCTGCCCAAACTTCATCTTCTTCGACCAGAAAAGGAACAGAGCAAAGCTTCCGGATCTTCTTCTCCAATTCTCTATCCCAAAATCCAGGTATTCCTCCAATTGATCTGAAGAATGACAATATATTCTGTTTGATCTAGATTATGATTTGTTTGGGATTGAAAAGTGTTATGTGGATTTCTTTACTTGACCCTTTTAAGGGAAAGAATTTAATTTCAATCATCTTATAAATAGATTTGTAAATACATATATTGAAAAATCATTAGCAGATTTCTAAACCAGATTTACGGTTAACATGATTGGATTTGTTCTAAATTTTTTTTAAATAAAATAAATAAAAAAACAGAGATGGGATTAGCAAAGACAAGTTATGGACAGGACCATATGTTCATTCCAGATCTGTTTTTTTTGTTGTTTTTGTTGGGCTTGGAAATTTTTTTTAGTTACATGCTGCGTAAAAAAAAAGAGAGGGTTACAATCATGGATTATCCTATCATGAAATTGTACATAGTTATCCTAATATGCTTCTATTATGCAATTCTCTATTATGCAGTTTTTGCTTCTATCCACATATGGATTAAAATAGTCTTTGTTTCTATTCTGCAATTT